TTGGGGTTTTTGTTTTTGATTTTTATGACAGGTCAATTTTTAAGCTAGAGGGCTCAAAATCAATACAGTTCTTGCTTTTTATGCTACAAAGCTACGCTAAAAATGTCAGGTACCTAGCTCAACCCGTTCTCGAGTTATCGTGTTTACAGACAAACAGACAGATAGACACACACTGTTAAAAAAATTTCATTACATTTTAATAACATTTATATGAACCATTTAAATGTTGTTTCTCAGATATTTGATGGTCTCTGGTGGGGCAACTCGTCAAAATAAAATCATGGGGGTAAAAGTTGTGTCCTTTGGAGCCGAAGGCCTATCAACGACTCTGCCTTTTGCCCGACTCGGGTGTCAGCGCCGCAGGCCTAGGTAGATGTATGCCAGGCGCGTCATAGCGTAACAGTGTTTCGTGAGATATCGCGAAGCCTGTTAAGCGAGACGTGGTCTGGCGTACATCTACCTAGTATTTAATTTGACGGGGAAAATGTACGGGATGCACCGTTATTTGCAATACGGACAAGTCCGTATCTTTAAACTAAAGTCATCCCGTTACGGTTTGGTACCGTATTTGGAATATACGCTGAGTTCCATAAGAATTCCGTAATTAGCCTACGGAATTTCTAACAGTGTGCGCTACAACCCCATCTCACGTCCACCTGCCGTTTTCGGACGCATGCTTGCACCGACACCCCCCGCTCGCTGCCGAGCTGTGTCGCTTGCCAGCCGGCCCGGCGCGGCCCGCCTATATCTCCCATTGCGGCCCGAGACTCGCCCGAGTGGCCCGCGGGCCGCGTGTCTGAGACCCTTTGGTGAGAAGATAGAATTTCAGAACAATATAAATATACTAGTAGCATTCGGTGAATGTTGGCTGAGCTAAGGCCCCCCGGGCGTATTGCTAGGGTAACTGAATGAAAGAGAATTTAAAGTCTCGCCAGGCCTATGGCGATTCAAATTATTTCACTTTTAGGATTGTTGGTTTTAATACTGGTATTCAAATGTTTAAATATTAAGGAGCAAGGGGGCTGCCGCCCCCTGGACCCTCGCTTTCTTTTTTTCTGTTAAAGAAAACATTTACGTACACAGTGGGTTATTTTCCCGCTTCTGAGGTTATTACGTTTTTTTCCCATCACTCGTCACATTCAGATTGCAATGTCAGATCGAGCTGGAACCAATGGGAAGAAAAAAGTTTTGCCAACACAAGAAGAGAAACACACATCATCCAGTTACATTAAATCTCAACCAAAAATAATTTAAAGCACCAATACTAATTCTTCAGTTCATAAAAAATCGAAAGAATACTGAGCTCAGCCTAAAGCTGGAACTTTGCCTAGTTTACTTTGCACTGCATTTTGTCATGCGGACGTTGGCTGCAGTGGGACTGATTTCACGCTGACTCTGGAGAGCCGTTGTGTACAGCCCATCCCGACCATGTTATGGCTTCACAGTTTAGTTTAGTTTTGATTAAACTAAATTTAGTTTAGTTTATTGGCTCAGCCAATCAGTACGATTTATTGAACTGGAAGTCACACAATCAAAATTCTATTTTAAATAAACAATGAAGAATCATTACTCAAAAGACTAAGTACACAAAAGGCCAAATTGTTTGTTTTACGAAATTGGAGGACAATAAAGATCTTGATATTCTAAGTACTCAAAAGACTGAGTACAAAAACAAAGTCAAATTGTTTGATGAACAAAATTAAATAAATGCATGGTAACATCAAGCTGCTGCTCCTTCCTCCAGCGGCTAATCCCTGGAACACCTTCACCTTTCAGAAACGCTCTCAAGAAACAAACTGCTATTTTTGAAATAGGAGTCTCTGGGGGCATTGGTTCAGGTGGAAGTGAAGGTTGAGGGGGTTGAGGGCTGGATGGGGATGGGTGTCCAGACCAGGAGGCCATCACATTTAACCTTGCTGGAGTGGCGGCGGCTCCTGAATATGGTGTACAGTCTGGAAACAAATCAAGAAAATGCATTAGTAAAATGAATTCCACTGAAGTGCTACGCACAAGAATTTAAATGCTTACCAATTCCAGTAGAAGTTTGCACCTGCACCCTTGCAGGTGTAACATGGGGAATTCTTCGAGGAGTGAGCAGCGGTGGAAGTGGTGTAGAAGTAACATCTGTAAAACAAAAAACAACCAAGGATTGTAGTATTCTGGCAATATGAGAAGAAAGTCAAGTGATCATTTAATAGTTGCTCTTACCTTTGAGACATGCGGCAACATTTGGTCTCTTGGGAGTACCAGGCCCAGCCAACAGCTCACTACTGGAGCGTTTTGTGGTCACTGCTCCTGAAAAATGAAAGCAACATGAATTTTCCCGTGAACAAAATATTGCAAATATTTTTTAATCAACAGATAAATTTAGTAACATACACTTTTGGACCAGGAACTTCACCCAGAAAAGCGTGTTCTTGTTTTATGCGCACTGTTCTCAACTGTCTTCGGCACTTGATTCAAGCCCACTTTCGACTGAAACCGAGAACATTCGTGCTTGAATCAAGAAAATTTACTCAATTTAAGGGCCATTTGGGCTTAATTCATGTCCAAAATATTCTCGAGACAATCAAGTACATTTTGCACTTGATTCAAGCAAAAAATGCTTGATGCAAGAACGGGCTTTTCTGGGTGTTTGCCATATGGTACGGTGTAACATAAACATGGAAAGGGAACATCAGGATTACATTAATAAATATGGAATCACTTAGGTGTGTATTATTCTATCCCTTATTGAAAAAAGAATCCCATTTTAGTTCCTAACTCCAAATCCCAATTTAGTCCAAGATCCTAAATCCCGAAAACTTGCCAAAACGGGTCAAAACAGGGACATGGGATTCCACCATGGTATTACACTCAATCCCTTCGGAATCCCATTTGGAATCCCGTGGCCATGTTGTCCACGGGAACCGACAGATCCTAGCTACAAGTTTGCTTCTAACGATATGTATATATACATATTGGAGATATTCAGAGTACTTACCGGCCATGTGAGTTCGCCTGACATGTTAAAAGTGACCTATGAAGCTTCCTTCACCATTTTCAAAATTTGCTCTGAAACGGCGTGTATCGCGGGGAAAAGGGAGTTCAGAGGGATTTCAGAACAAAAAGGATTTCAGAGGGATTTTGGAAAGTTCCGAAGCCTTTTTTAGTGCCTTAAAACAAGAGGGAGTATGTTGGTACTAAAATGGGTCTGATTTGGGTGTTTACCTTTTATTCTACCAATTACTTACATTAGTTAATCCACATACCTCATGAACCACCACTCCCATGAAGAATGTGAAACCACGAAACCAATGAGGAAAACAAACTGTAATAACCTGCTTTTTTTTCATAATAAAATAGTATATTATGGCATACATGATTTAGACATAATGGGTGTGTTATTACGTGCAGCATGCAAGCATGCATCCATGGATTGCCAAACTCACTAATTTAGCTAAATTTGGGTATTATGGTGTCGGAAATTGGATGAGTGCTAAATTTTAGTGTGGCTGCTAACCACATTGGAGGGAGAGACGGTGGCGGCATGAGAGGTCTGCTCGTGGGTCCAAAATCTCGACAGGTTGGGGGATTAACGCCTGGGTCGGGGCCAACTGTAAGGCCTGTTCACACTACCTTCAGTCGGGGCCGCCGTGCAGGTAGGTAGGTGGGAAGCCCAGACTCAGCTTGCGCGGGACGGGCTCCTACCTGACTCTCTCCCTCGCACACTCCGGCCGGGTGAGCTGTGAGCTGGGCGAGGGTCGGTGCTTTAAAAAAAAGTTATAGATGAATCTGAATTTCCATTATGGAAATTTTAGAAAATCCAGTATGGGAAAAATATCCCTTAAGGAAACAAAATCTACAAGATATTTCCAGATGTAATCCATAATATGGAAAGTCAAGATTTTTTTCCAGAGAGGAAAAAACATTTTCCTTAAAGAAAGTCACAAATCCAGAGTGACTCTGAAATTTCTATCGGGAAACTTAAATCCAGATACGTTTTCTTTAAGGGATTCAAAGCTGGGAAGTGTTACAGAGGTAATCTGATTGAAGTTCCTAGAAGAGTGTATTGTTGCCACTGTATTGTCGTGAAGAAAGCAAAAACTGAGTTTTTCAATTATGCTGTATCTTCTAAACGAATGGCCGGATTTCAAAAATAACACCATGTTCTTTGTTTTTAGCGAAATTTCACATAAGCACGTTGTTATCTACGAAATGTGGCACTTGGTGCCGCTTGTGCTTCACACACTCCATACGGATTCCAGAGTGATCTGGGATTTTTTTTCTATGGAAATTAAAAGTATAGAAAACGGAAAGTATGGAAAATGAAAATCCAGATGGAAAAGTGTTTCAATTCCTCACTGGGAAATGGAAAAATCCTGAGTGGAAAATTTCCATAAGGAAAACTAAATCCATAGTTATTTTCCCTAAGGGATTTAAAGCTGGGGTTTTATGATGTTTTCCTACTAAAAATTGTCCAAAACAAACGAAAAACATAGTATGGGCAGCTAAAACCGGTGCCAATCTTAATCTACATATGTCCCCTGCAATATGTATCGCGCTCAGCGAAATTGGTGGGTAACACCTAAAAACCTTCCCTTGTGAGTGTGAGTCTTGGTTTTTTAGCGGGTATACACGCAGTGTCACGGAACCGCGACAAAACCGCCATCCCAACGCATTTTCGCGCCATCCACCTGCGCGCACCGGAAGCTGGCGCCCCCTGCCGCCTCCGCCCGGAACTATGTCCGGTCCACGCGTCCGTCTGTCCAACCCCAGGCAACTCCCATGCTATGGGCCTGCTACGTGACGTCACGAGGCGGCGGTCTGTACTGCCAACTGTATTTCAACAAAAAATCCCTGTACCACAGGGATATTCCCTCCTAAGCGTACTTGTTTCTCTCCCGGAGTTTGATAGACTGTTTAGAGGAGAGGGTAGATTCAAACGGAGGTTAAGCTTAGACATTAGAAAGAAAACAAAAGGGTCATGTCAAAATAAGATATATTTTGCACAGCAAAGTCATACCAAAGTCAAATATAAACTCAGAAACACATAACAAAACAGACATACAAACATGCAAACAAATAATAAAGTATCTGAACAAATAACACAAATTTCAAAAGATAAAAATATAGAAACTTAGGTACACAAATGGTTTAGAAGTCTGGCCTTCAGCTCATCCTTCTTACCAGACGCTTTTAACCCTTTTTGTTTAAGCATGGCTTTTAGCTGTGCCACATTCAGACTGTCAAGGGTTACTTCAAGAGGTGGTGGTGGTGGCAGAGGTGATGGTGATGGTGCAGCTGGTGCCTGTGTGGCCCATGCCTGTTGCGCTTTGTGCCTTGCCACCTAACGAGGAGTCTATAAAAAGATATATATTATTAAATAAGGGAACAAGATTAATATTTGTACAGGACAACAATTGCAAGAATTAAGAACAATACGCTTGGTTTACTGTCTTAATCAAGAGGTAGACACTATATATGAAATTTTATGTTTAATGTAGGCGTTTTAATGTACCATCTGCTAAAAAGGAAACTCACCATGGTTTGTGTTGATGGAGCTGGAATCTGGATTGGGGTGGCTGCTCGGGTCCGCATTGGGGTAGTGGAGGATGGAGTCCTCAACAGGGTGGGGGTCGCAGCTGGAGTCCTTTGTGGGGTGGCGGATGGAGCCCTCTTAGGGGTAGCTGGAGTGTGTGGTGCCATGGAAGCAGTTGGAGCATGGGCAGAGGCGTCTGCAGGAGCTGCAAATGAAATGAAACTTCTAAAAAGCTTGAAGGAGTCAAGAAAATTCTAGATAGATAATAATTAGTAGACAAAAAATTAAATGCTATTATTAAAAACTATTGGTTGTGAGGGAAAACATGCAGAATCAATTAATTAAAATGAAATAAACCACTTACCTAAACTGAGAAATGTTCCATGCAGCAGGGAACATGGCTGTGTGCGTCCAGCACCAAAATTGTCCCGTATCCAACATGTGAGGCTGAAATAGAACAAATGGTATTGTGACACAAAAACAGAAAGTGAAATATAAACATGCACCGCTCTTCCAAAACTATAGATATGCCTTTGGAAATCCCTTGAGGTTGAGATGAAACATTATGAGATGTCATGAACAATACAAAAGGGACCTTTTGTAATATAAAGTTCTGATCACATGCACCCAGAAATTTTATTACTAAATCAGCACACCCATTTGTGGTTTTACCAATAACTACCTCAATTCGTTCCAGAGTTGTTGTGCGGATAGAGAGACTAACAAAATGAAAGTATTCAGGTAAGTGGAGCTATCCCTATCCCTTATTAAACAGTACTAACACCCAACACGATGACACCCGTTCATAAATACTGTATAATAAACCTGTCATAATGCCAAGAAGAATTTGGTCTTCAGGGTCTAACTCCGCCTCCTCATCTGTACGAAGGCCAGTAGAATTTTTTGTGACGAGAGCTGGCCTGGTTCTTCGTGACACTTTAGCCCTCAGCTCAGCATTGCAATCCCTACATTTTTGGTAAATGAGGGTCTCTTCAATTTGGCTGAAGAGGATATTGACGATGTCCTTCGCATTGTGGTGTGCGGGACACAGCAAACCCTCCCACCATGAGAGAAGGGCGCCCTGGAGTCCAAGCTTCGTACGGCCGGGACCCCGTCCGGCGACCTGGGGAACCAATTTACTCGCTCCCTGTGCGCCGCACAGCAGTGGGCGAGGTATGACAGTATTCGGGAAGGTGAACTGCATCCGGTGACACCCTTGCCAAAACTGTCCGACCGCGGAGAGCCGAGCGCCAGCGAGATAAGCGGTGCGGAGCGGCCGCGGCGGGACCTGCGTCTTCAGTCCGGCTGCGGCCGGCCGCTAGGAGCGCTAGTGTCGCGCCGAGGAATGGACGTTTTATGCCGTCAAACCGCATCCGAACTCCAGATCAAACTGAAATTTGGTACCGGGGGTTTGTCGATGGCGCTGAATCCAAAAATAACAATTTTTTTTTAAAAGGGGGCCGTCCCTAAAGGCCATTCAGAAATAACGACCGATAAATCGTCTTTAAGGACGGCCCCCTTTTCAAAAAAATTGTTATTTTTGGATTCAGCGCCATCGACAAACCCCCGGTACCAAATTTCAGTTTGATCTGGAGTCCGGATGCGGTTTGACGGCATAAAACGTCCATTCCTCGGCGCGACACTAGCGCTCCTAGCGGCCGGCCGCAGCCGGACTGAAGACGCAGGTCCCGCCGCGGCCGCTCCGCACCGCTTATCTCGCTGGCGCTCGGCTCTCCGCGGTCGGACAGTTTTGGCAAGGGTGTCACCGGATGCAGTTCACCTTCCCGAATACTGTCATACCTCGCCCACTGCTGTGCGGCGCACAGGGAGCGAGTAAATTGGTTCCCCAGGTCGCCGGACGGGGTCCCGGCCGAACGAAGCTTGGACTCCAGGGCGCCCTTCTCTCATGCTCCCACTGTACAGCATTTTGAAACAATGTAGCAACATCACTGGAAACATTCTCCTTGTACAATACGCTTTTACATTGTCTTTCAAATACATTTTGGCAAGATAGATAGATAGATATTAGATTTTGAGACGGAAATGAAAATTGAGAAGATATAGAATTATAAAACAGAGGTTGTTGTGAAGACGTTAGTAGATTAGAACAGTGAGAGCAGTCAATTTTTTAAGCAGAGAATGTAGAATTTCAATCCACTTTTCTGTGGGCGCCTGGCGAACTAGAAGATTGGTGGGTTGCACTCTAGGGCGATGTCCAAAATTGTCTGGGGTATCCCTATGATGCAGAGACTGCTCGACTGGTGGTGCAGTTGAGGGGTTCTCTTCTGATAGTAAATACTGACTCAGATCTGACATCATGAAAGACTCATCATCCTGGCAATTTTTACTGTCAGCACTAACAAGTCTTGAGAACCTGCTAACCAGGCAAGTTTTCATAGAAGCAGTGAACTGGGCCAAGTTGAGGTCAGAGCTACTGCCCCCACACTGACAGATGAGACAGAAATTTTTTTCAAGAGCATCTTGGTTTAAATGCCGCAGTTTTAACACACGAACCTCTTCTTTCACTGAGCACCACAGTACACGAAATGATTGAACATTTTCAATCCATCTCTGCACACATGGAGGAATGTGTCAGACACCATCTTTCTTTCTGATAAATGTCCATGTCTGCAGCTTAGAAATGATGGTATTCCACATATCCTCCTTGATGTTGGGGGAATGATCTGTAACATTGACTCTAAAGAGTTTCTGGTCATTGCTTTCCTTTGCTCTTGGGCCATTCCAAAGGTCGAAGAAACTGTCCATGTCCTAACAGGGATAAGCAAATGGCAAGACGATACCTCAGAGCGAAAACCGCTCAGTCTGCCGGAGCGCTACGACAACCGCTTAGTCTGCCGAGCGGTTTGGACAACCGCTCATTCCGTGAAGGCGCTTCGACAACCGCTCAGTCAGCCGACCCACCTCAACAACCGCTCAAATGACTTTTTTGACATTTTTTATGTTTTGACCGATTTCGACTAATTGGACCATGCTCTTTTCGATGGTGCAATCCAAATTTTTTCGTCAATTTATACCATCGCCGCCGGCAGGCCAAGCAGGCCCGGCCCCTGCACGTCCTTCAGAACAAAAACACCGAAAATCGGGCAGTATATGCAACGTTCCTTGCCGTTGAACACGATTCGATGCGGTTGGTGCTAGGAATGAGTTACCTTTTACATTCATTAGAGAAAGTTGTCTCGAAGCAGACGACGAGGAAAGAAGAACGAGCGTAAAGCATTCCGGTAAAGCTGAAATGCAACAGAATGCGGGGATGAAGAAAACGGAAATTACTATGCTTCAGCATGGGTACTACCGTTTTCTTGTTCCCTGCATTCTTCTGCATTTCAGCTTCATAGGGTATTCCAATGGAGCGCTGAGCGGTAGTAAGAAGAACAAAACTGGAAGGGGGGAAGGTGCCCGGGCCGTCCCCCTCTCTTCCGGGCGGAGTGGGGGAGCGCCCGGGGAGAAGTGGACGGCAGGCGGGGAGGAGTGCGGGCGCTGTCGTGGAGCACGACGCGAGGTCCTCTTCCTTTTATATTTTCGCGCCTTATGCGCCCAGCGTGGACGAGCCCTATTAGTTTAGCTAGGCACCCCTGTTCTGAGGCTAGTTCGATGGCTGGCGAGTGCATCTCGGGGAGGGCTGATAAGGCCAGGGCGGCTCTGCAGCCCTGGGCCGAGCCGGTCTCTCCCGGGGCGCTGTATCGTCAGTCGTCGGCAAGCTCCAGCCTGGGTCAGATCACCGTTTGCTCCGTATCACATCCAAGGTAGGCCCTACTCATCTGTACATCTGTGTGAACCGATAGGGCAAGCTCGTAATAAACCTGTGGTACCGAAACCTATTCTATCATTCCAATACTGAACCACTAGAACCACCGTATCCATAGCAATACTCAGCAAGAATACACCACCAAAACATTGGTGCATCGCCGGGAACCCGGTTTTATTTTTTTAAGTTTTTGTTTCTGAGATTTTCGTTTTCGTTTTCGCCGCGACTCAAATCCAATCTGACCCGACCAAAAAGCTGGAGTTTCCTTTTCTTTCTATCCCTATCTATCTTTTTCTCCCTATCCTCTGAGTGTATGATTTACTTTGTTTTTGTGCTGTTTATTTGTTTTGTTTTTTGAACTGTGTAGCCAAGAAGTGTTGTGCTGCAGTGTACTGCCGCGACGTGAAAAAGTGAAGTGTTATGTGTGCATTTTATCTTGTTTCTATGCTTTGTTATGTTTAAAATTCACAATTTTTTTCCCCTTTGTTGCTTGTGGCGTCGACCACGTGTGCCTCACCCCTCACCCCCTACCTCTTTGCAGATCCCACCTCCTACTGATTTTGAAGAAAGCATCCCTTTTCCAAATACTTCCAAATTTATAGAATATCAACGGAATGATCCCAAATTAGTTAAAATTTGTCCAATCTCTTTCAAACGCAGACAAAACCTCTGATGCGTTCTTGCGCAAGGTTCCAAAATTTAGGCTAAAAAATAATCTATTAGTAACAAACTCAAAGGTTTCTCGGACAGTTGTTCCCTCAAAATTAGTCCCTGTTGTCCTTAAAGATTTTCATGATTTAACTGTGCATTCTGGTATTAAAATTTTGCAACTGTCTATTTCGTCATTTTATTTTTGGCAGAATATGTACTCAGATATTGAACAGTATGTTAAGTCTTGAACTTTATGTGGCCAATTTAAAGCCACAAATCAGAAATTTGGTCTTCTTCAACCCCGTGGTGCTAATGACATTTTTGATGATGTCATGATTGATTATTGTCACGTTTATACACAAAAGAATCGGTTCACACATTGTTTGCTCGTGTGTGATGTTTATTCTAATTATTGCTGTCTTTTTCCTTGCAAAACCACTAATTCTTCTGAACTAATTAAGCACCTTAAAACTTATTTTTCTCGCTTCGGCGTTCCCCGTACCTTGCATTCTGATGTGTGTTCTGCCGT